ATAAAAGGAAAACCTACACCCACACATGCAGATAAATCAGTTCAACAAGTCACACAATGCTGTCTGGCTAATGATAATAGGCTAATTATCATACTAAAAGGGATACATCCAAGTGTCCCAAAACATTTCAGAAACCGTTTCTGCCAGAACCAGAGTTAAATGTATTTTTGTAAGTAATTAACTAATAAGATACAAGTAGAGTTTAAAATATTGCTACAGATATAATTTCACATACTTTTATGAGAAATAATGTATTAATTTATTCAGTTCTGGTCTTAATTCAAAATCTTAACAGAGGACACATTTAGAACTTAGTTATAGTGAATTATCAAAGACATTATATTTCTACTAGTGTTTTATTTCCATATGTGAACATATAAGGGCAATCTCCATGACAGGTGCAATGCTATTTTGACTACCACACTGACCCAGTGTTGTAATATTACAACAAAGACATAAGCTGCTCAAAATAAAATGTGATGAATGTATTCCACAATAACTACATATGTACATGTTCTAGACATTGTAATAATCACAAAAAACAAAACAAATCCGGTCCAATAAAACAAAGAGATGTTGCTCGTTTGAAGATTTGGAAGTTGTGACCTATAAACACATTTACTAACCAATAGCATTGTGGGGCTGAACAAAAGGACCTTTTGACTAGAATGTAGTCTTTAAAAAAACAAAAACATTTACTGACTTTTTTAGGATAGCTTAAAGTAATGTTGTAGAATTACAACAGGGTTAATAGGTAAATAGAAAATAATACTTATTCTTTTATTTCTACGCCTAATAATATATAGGTATACGTGTGTTGCCAACATTTGTATGATGAGCAAATATTGTAAATTGCTATTCTAGCATGACTTGCAAAAACATAGTGTTCTTTAATAACTTACATGCTTTTATTTAAAAACAATAAAGTTATAAGATACTGAAAATGCAGTATTTGTTGTGCAGCTTAAAAGCTTGAATGTTATTGGGCTTTATTACATTTGTAGATGTCATAATATCACAATTTATTTTTGAATTGAAAACATTTTTTTTTTATTTTATTGTTTTGCACAATTTAAAAACACAAACAAATCAGGTAACAAATGATAAACCGTGCAGGATGTTAAAATCATAATTTCTTCTTTTTTTTTAAACTCAACAATAGTTTAAATGCAATAATAATGGCAACTTTAAGAACAACATACACTACAAAAAAAAGTCAATAACATAACCTTCACGTACAAAAAAAGAAAGATGTGAAAAGGAGGTCTCAAATTGTGGTCAAATGATTTTTTCAACAATCCATAAAAGTGCAGTATTTTGTTATGTATGAAAAGCCATTCCAGGTTTCTATTCCCCTAATAAATGGGATTACAGTTACACTTCGAAAATAAAACAAAGAGCAGAAGTATTTCAAATAAAAAAAAGTAGGTTGGCTGACACTTTGAGTAAAGGTGAATTCAGAAGTCACGTGACCAGGCGCTGCCTACCGCTGAGAGCTGCTGGAGTCTGAACGAGTCAGATGAGTGTTGGACGGTGCAGGTGGAGCATGGAGCAGGGAGCGTCGAGCAGGATACAAACAACAGAACAGTTTCTGATGTAGATCCTCATTGTCTCAACTCATGGTGAGTCTGAAGCTGGTTTGCTTTGTTTGCGCGCAGGTTGTTTTTCCTCCAAATACTTATTATGTTTCCAAGGAGCTTGTGGGAATTGGATTGGCCACCTGTGGGGTTAAGACGTGCACACACTGTTAGTTGACTGTCTTATCTAAGATTATAGGATATATCTAATTATAGCAGCCGAGAGCCAGGCTAAAGCAGTAGTAGGATATGCGTTTGAGCTGACGGGCAGAAACACTTCCCACCGCAGACAGCCAGGGAAACTTGTACTGTCGCTGGGAAAGTGTCAAGTAAATCCTGAGGGGAAGGGCTTTAAGCCAAACTGTGTTTTCTAAGCTGATTTTCTTCCATTAAAACAACAATGAAACCAATTCATGTATGATACAAATATCCGTGTTAATAGAAACAGCTAGAAATAGCCCAGCTTTCAATTTTGTGTGTGATAATTTGCATTTCTTCTACATAAACAGCTACGATTCTCTACAGCTACATTAATAATTCACCAACAGCTAAGCGTAATATGCCTGTGTTTGCTGTGTGAATAAATTCCGCTGAGTTGTAACATGATATTAAAGGGTGCGCACAGTTTTATTCATGGTGAGAATTAATGATCCATGAGTGAGGCTGAGGGAGCAGTGCTGTCAGCGCACTGGCTCAGGGGATTGCCCAATTTTAGCTGCCATACTGAAACTCAGTGGGGTCACTGGGTGTCAAGGCAGGGCTGCACAGATAAAAACACCCTGTAACTCATTGGTCTGAGCTGGAAATGATGCACGTTTCCTTTGTGTTTCCTTGTATGTGCACACCAATGTATTACAGGTCATCAAATGCCTCCAAAAGCTAGATAAAAGCACATTTTCTCCACTTAATAATCAGTGTTTTCACTAAAACGACTACCTAAACGAAGTGTATTTTCAGAACCTCTGTTGCATTTTGTTTAACATGTGAAGCAGAAACACAGCAGCGTGAGTGCCAATGGTATCCAGAGCTCTACCACAAAAATAAAACAGTTTATTTAAATCCCAGCATGACTGAAACACATACCTTATAAACCAGTGTGTTTCTGCTGCTAAACACATAAAGGGTATGTTTGAGGGGCTGCAACTCATGATTATTTTCATTATCGATTAACCTGCTGATTATTTCTCTAGATTGATTGTATGGTCAATTAAATGAAAAAATTCATTGTGAAAAATCATCATCACAGTCCAAGGAGATGTCTTTTAAATGTATTTTCTTTTCTTGTCTTGTCTTGTCTTGCCCAAGAAATTCAGTTCAATATGATTTATACCTGTGCTGTGACAAATCAGGAAATATCCCAAGATGAGAAGCTGAAAAGCAGCCATTTTGGAATAAAAAAATATTGAAAAACTGACCCTCAAAATAGTCAATTAACTTATCAATCAGTCAACTTATGATAGCAGCTTTACTGCCTTCACTTAGAACCAATGCAGGAAAAAGCAATGGTTGTATAAAGCAGCATAGTATTTTACCGAGCTGTACGGTATATCCAACACTTCCATAATTGTCTTTCCATTATTCTATTCAACTACAATGCATTGTACTGACTGGAATATAAAAGGATCTGCCAGTAGCTGTTTTTGGTTCAAACTAAAATAGTAATCATTCCTTTGATCCTGCCTCCATCGGGGGATTGTGTGCTCTTCTTTATTCTCAAAATTACATTTTTTTGGACAAACAAAACATGTGAGGATGAGCTTAAAAGATTATAGATAGCTTTTCACTATATTCTGACGTTTAAAGACCAAACAATCGAGAAAAATAAAAGAGAATACAAATTGAAATGGTGCAACGATGATATTTACTTTTTGAAGTTTGATAAGACAACAGTCATTAAATCAGTGCTATTACATTTAATATCCAAACCGAAGTGCTCACCACATTTTGTTTTTCTTGGGTGTTCCCGTCTGTCAGTGAGCTTGTCACACAACACAGGTAGAGCAGGCGGAGATGTTCGGGTGTTCAGATTTTCCTTTTGAGCCCCACCACCTGCTGGGACTTGCCTGGGTGCGTGTTACTCGGTGTGTATTTATGCGTTCAAGCACGCACTTTACACTCAACCAGACTCTTCTCATCGATGACAAGTGATTTGTCGGAGCAGAACGAGTGAACAGGGTGTTGGATTTTAATTGTTCTAGTTTGCTCCTTTAGCCTAATGATGCGTGTGGTGACATGCTTGAAGACTGTACAGCACATTTTTCTGAAGTATTGTTTTCCCGCTAATTACAACTCTCCTGCGCTTCAAAACAAAAGGTGGTTAGTGATTATCATAAAAAGAATGGTTTTGTTTTTAGTCCATCTGAGCTTGCAAAAACATAACTCCCTGCTGAACCGGGTGTGTTTTCCAGTGAGTCTGCGACACAGGGAGTGTCAGAGGTGAGCAGCCTCCCACAACCGCTTTCCTGTTTAGGCCCCTGTGATGGAATATCGCTGCCAGTGGGCCACTCGGCATACGTTGGAAAACACACACAGACTAGCAGCAAGTCAGCCAGTGACTCAACCAACATTTAACCTATAGAACAGTCTCAGCCATTAAGGTGAATCAGTTACAGCCAGAGAAAGCCTCGCCCATTATCTCACACAAGACACTCAGGAGAGCCTGGGTCTACACTGGCACGGCTCTCTCCAGCTGTTTGACTCTTAATTCTTCAGGATTTGTTAGGACTCACTGTGATGACGATAGTGCGCCTGTCGGTGCACGTTTCACATGCTGCTGTATCGAGATTTGAGCTTGTTTGCAGCACACAGTCGTAGTAAGAATCCACCGTGCAGTAGATACTGTTCTGCTATTAATATCCTCATGCTTCAAGTGGTTGGAGTGTTTGGAGATACTGCTGCAAGCTTTCTTCTACGTATTGTACAAGTTCATGTACAGCCTTTGAACCCACAGTTGATGAGAAGAAACCCACAGTGCTAACCCTTTCAGGGATTTCTGCTTGTAGTAAAGGTGTATGTGGGAGATGCATTTTTACATTTGGATCTCTGGAGATGTAAAAAACTATTTTAGTCTCACTCTTGTTGTTCGTTCGGGTTTTGTTGAAGCTTATCTTCGATGACGCTGACTCAAATGTCATGATGACAATGTTTCTACATTGTATGCAGGTATTGTACTACATTTCACACAAACAACATGCAGAGATATTCCCCTTTTACATTATTATGTGTACGTGTCACAGTGCAGTCAATTAGTTTTACAGGTTTTGCTGGCTGTACAGGAAACCGCTTTGATCCCATATAAACAAAATACATGACTGGATTTCAAACGAGTCTTTCACAACAACTCCTCTGCCTCAGCGTACACACCTTATTTGAGCGTTGTTTATTATAATTTTGGGGTACCACTTTACAATAAGACTACCCTTATAAAGGGTTTACGAATTGTTTGTAATTCATTTATTAATTAGGTTGTGAACACTTTATAAATCATTAATAAGCTTTTATAAGACATGAGATAAACAGGGCAACTGTGACCGGTTGCTTGCCAAATAGTGAGCCCACATTTATCTGTACTGCTAAGCCTTATGGCTACTTAGCTTACTTCATCTTCTTCATTAGCCAGCATCCTTGGTATCTGTTGTTCACTGAGTTGATTCTCGCTAAGTAGCCAATATAAGGAACAACAACAAGGGTGAAACACAGGATGGATATGAGTTCACACAAGCATAGCAATAATTATAATAGAAATAAAGAAATGTAAGAATAAAACATTTACACATTTTCTTTTACCAAATCTAGCAATGTAAATTAAAATGTAATGTGTTGTATACGTAGTACAGATATTTATAATTATGTATGTGTTAAAAATACATGTCAGTTTGAAAGAATAAGTAGCAGCGTTATAACAGTATGTAAATATATAAAGTAGGTGAGGTAGCAGCTAGTCAAAACGATAGTAAACTGTACAAAAGTTGTGTTGCACAAGAGCAGTAGATGATAAGTTATTAATAATTAATAAGTTAATAAGCTTTTGCACACAGCCTGAAACATTACCCAAGCCTTTCTGAAGGACTGACTTGTATAAATAAAGGAGTGTGGATAATAAAAGGGCCATAAACAACTTTGTAACATGCCATCACGAGTGCAGATATTAAAGATAGGGCGCCATTAGCAAATACATTTTGCCCATAATCTTATGTATCCTTCTTCCCTCAGGTAAGGGGTCCAAGAGTCCATGGGACGGTCCTTTGATGAGTTAAAGAGAACAAAGTAGTAGGAAGGGTGGAGGACATGGAGACATAAATGTGGGATCGCTATCTATTTATTATAACTTACATGGAAATCTTAAAATTCAAAATCAGCAGTTATATGAACGTTGTGTGCAATGCAGCAGGTGATAAACGAGCACACAGAGCTCTGCAACTTCCCCCAGCTGTACAGGAAGTTTGAGCTTTTTTAAACTAATTGTTTTGGTTTATTTGCCCCCAAAATCTGGCTCGCAGAAAACCTTGATTCCAGGTCGAGCTTTTCCAGTAAATAAAGGTCTGTCACTAGCCTCCTGTCCAGCACCAAATGACAGGCAGACACAGTTAGCAACTAGCTGGAGAACATAGTGGAGCATTAAGCAGATAAAGAGACACATTTTTTCCCTGTTGAGTTGGCCTTAACATACCTAAAGAAGAGTCAATATTTGTCCTTTGTTTGCCAGGTGGCCAGACACATGACTCCAAATGAATGGTGATGTTGTTCACGGTCTGCTGTGATAGCTATACAGTATGTTCACCATTAAACATCTACAGTGTAAGGCGAGAATATCTAAGTGAGGTGTTTTATTTAAATGTTTAAATAACTTTAAAATATGCTTTTTATAAATGTCTGAAATCCCAAGAAAAGATGCAAACAAATTGTAATTAAGAAAAGCTTATTCATGCAACTGGTGTCTAGTACCCTCAGCTGTGCATCCCCCAACACCCGAAACAGACACAGGTGCACATGTCAGTAAAAAGGAAGAGACAAATGTGACAACTGCTGCTTGTCTTCTATTGTTTTAGCCATACCTGCCTGTCTGCACGGTTTGGAAGAATCGGTGAAACGCTGTGAAAAACAACCTGCAGTCACTTCATTCAGCTGTGTCGCTCAACCTATCCTCCCCTCCCCTCCCCTCCCCTCCCCTCCCAGCCTGAGGGGGAAAGTATGCAAGAGTTCTGCGCTCTGACAACAGATGAGCTGTCGTATGTACAAGCGGCAGCTCGCCCCGGTGTGTCAAGTAACAACAAGGTGGGAGCATGGCAGTTTGTTGCAAAACGCACATTCAAAGCCGAGGTTTTTAGAGGCACAAGGGAGCGAGCTCCTGGCTGCCTCTCTGGAGGAAATTTGGTTGCTGTCATTTTGGTTTCTGTCAACAGCCGAGAAATCTGTGGTGTGCATCTCAAAGGATGCATCTCTGTATTTTTTTCTCTGCCAGCTTCGTATCTAAACAAAGCTTGCAAAGTAGCTGAGTTCGGCGGCTGCTTTTTGAGCAGTGGGCACCACAAAAAGAGTTAGTTATTTTACCTTGCAAGTCTGCGCTTAAGTATGCTTTGTGTGTTAGTCTAAGAAAAATTGCCTTGATGAATTTTGAATGAGGCTGCACCGCTCAGTTAGTCAACACAGAAAGAAGTGGTAAGTCTCAATGTATCATGATTCCCAGGGTAGGGATGCAGCGCTATAACTGTGAATTGCTGTGAACTGCGTGCATGCCCAAACTTGAAATGATCCCTTCTGCTGCGTGAACCCCGCTGAGCCCAGAGGAAGCAGCTTCTTATCAGGGAGGAAGACAGGAAGAGTGCAGGAGGAAGAGGGGGTGGGGGTCGGTGGGCAGCGTGGCAGAAATCACTTGACATCAGTTTCCTCTGTGAAGTTTACAGGGATGACTTTTCATGCTTATTATGACTGAAAGTGGTGCTTTACTACTCTGATGTAACAACAAGGTTATACATGTCCCTGTTTGGAATGCTGTCTTTCTTACTGTAATATTCTGATACAAAATTGGGTATACTTGGGAGTTTTAAAGGTGTTTTGCAGGAAGGTTTAGTCAAAGGTTGTTTTGCATTGCGTTTGCACATTTTAAATCCAGTGTTTTTGGTCTCATACAATTCACTTTAAAGATTGTCTTTGTTGATTTGATCATTCTGTCTCTTGTGAGTCCCCATCTTAATAACACTGTGGTGCTAAATGGCTAATCTGCCCCTTTTTAAAGAGGCAAGATTTTATTTTGTTGACAATCAATTGGTGATTGGCTATTTATATTTAATTCCTGCATACTGTACATTTAATGCATGGATTATCCAATTGATGATTATATTAGTATTTTTTCGGTGAATGTATGACCTGTGAACAAATGGGCACTTTTTAAAATGAACTGAATTGTGTGTCATGTTGAGCTGCCATGTCACTTTTATGTTTAACATTTAGTTACATGTACATTTGAAACAATTAGTTTGCATTATTTTCTTTAAGTAGCTTTACATTTCTCTCTGGGATAGCTTTGCACTAGTTCAACTTCTTCCAGGGTGAAAGAAGTAGCTTGCTTGCAGACAGTGTAGCTCTGCTGAAAAAAATGGGACACTAAATGTTATCAGTGAAAAACCGAATTTACAGCAGATGAAATAAAATAAAAAAAGGTGTAGGAGGCAAACCAGCCACCCTTTTCATTCTTGAAGTGAATAGAATATATCAATCAAATGTCCATCTCTTATACATAATTTCCAGTCTTCTCATCATCTTTTCATGTTATGGGTCTCTTTAATTATTTAATGCATAAATGTTTTCATATCTTTCCTAGAGGTGGGCCCAATTAAGATGATCTCCTCCAGCATCCCTCACCAGTAGCTGTGCAGCATGGCTTCTGCTCCTCCATCCAGAGAAGACACCAGCAGATCATTAGCCCTGCGCTGGAGGCTAACGCCGACATAGATACTCGCCGACTTCAAACTGAGCCGAGCCGCACTCTGCAGGCCTGGTTACACATTGTGTGAACTGCCTTTTAGAGGATGACTTGTACCATAGCGGCATATGTCTAGGAAGGCAACATCAGCACAGTGTAGCAACATCTGGACTGAGAGCGTGGACCATGTTTTGTGTCTGATCCGGTGCTTTGGTGGCAGAGCTGCACGGTGCAGCTCTTCCACACTTAGACACACCTGGACTCTGAGCCATGTCTCTTCTCTTAGCTCTAAGCATCGTCTGTGGATTGATGCTCCATGTTTCAGTTAATGCACTCGACACTCAATACTGTGTCCCACGAAAGACTATCCCCTACCAGAGTAAGTCACAGATCCTCAATATCACAGCATATTCTGTGATGTAAAAGGATGCTTTGGAAGTGGAATGAGATATATTATCATATTCAGTGTATTACTTACAGTAGATGCCCCTAGTTTGGAGACACAAGCAGCTAAGCAATCATCTGTGGTTGGGCCAGCATCAGTCACATTTTTGAAAAACTGTAGGTAATACCCTGACTATGGATAAGTACCCCATACAACCCCGCTTCAAACTGTTTGAACCATCCCTTTAATTACTTAGTTTTTGTGAAGGCTGAGTCAAGCTTATAAAATATCAATGAAATAGCATTTTGATTCTTGCTGTGAGAGCGTTTTCTCCAACTACACAGCACAGTCTCAGCAGCTGAAATGTAGAAAGTAATGCGGATGCTCTCCTCCCTTTTTAGACGAGGTGAAGTTGTTCAGAGAAGAGGGGATCTTCAACTACTCCACTATGCTAATGAGAGACGACCTGGGTGTGCTGCTGCTTGGGGCCAGAGAGGCTGTGTATGCTCTGGACATCAACAACATTTCTGTCAGAAAGGCTGCGGTGAGAACATGAGAGGAGATTCATAAATAAACAACTCTTTACAAAATGTGCAGGTCTGCGTGCTGTTATGCTCATCTTTATTCTGTTTGAAGCCGTTAGAACAAAAATCACTGATGAACACACACTGACCTGCTGAACAGTGGTATATTAACATGCCCATTTTCGAAAATAAATAGGTATCATTTATCTATAAGTTGAACAATTATGATGTTTTTTGGGTTGACCCCATATCAGAGATGTGTGAGCTGTGTTATTGAACGATTTTTCCAACATTGTCTGAAATGAAGAATTTTTGGAGACTGACATTGTGAAAGTATCAAGTGTTTCACAAGAAAACAGTTCATAGGTTCAGGGTTAGAACAATTTCACAATCAGTTCACGCCTCAAGTAAGTTTGTATCTTTATCTGCCCTCCTTCATTTTTTAAGGGAGTGTATTTTGGCGGACGATATGCTTACAGAAGCACATTACGTTGTGTAATGAACTGCACTCCTTTCAACAGCTGGTTCAACGCTGTTGTCTATTTACCCCGTGCACATTTGCATGAGAATTTGGATGAATTATGGTCCTTTTTGAACTGTAGACAGCTGGTTTATAATTGTAGCTACACAGCTAACAGTCATAGCTGAAGAGGGATAGGTGTCCCAGCCTGCAGGTATTCCCTTCCCGAGTGTACAGACTGGTCCTGGCGTTAGATCAACACTGATATGTGTGAGGGTAAACATGCTGCAGCTCCATGCCGTGCAGTGGCTCGGTTGCGACACCATTCCTGTGTGCTTTAACAAAAAACGTCCCCTCTGTTGATGCAGGTGTACTGGCGAGTTACAGAGGAGAAACAGCGGGAGTGCACATACAAAGGAAAACATGCTGAGGTTTGTGTAACTTATTACGAAACAGAGCTTTCAATGCATTTAGTTTTACTTTTGTAAAAGCCTTAAAGGGTGACTGTTGACTGAAAGCTGTTTACTCCCCTGTGCAGTTTGTCTCTGTGTATTTGTAAATCATTGATATGGGGATCTTTTTTCCTTTTCAAGTCTTGACACAGAACTCTCTTTGAAGTGCTTTGCTTATAGCTTGGTACCGAATGTCCAAATACATGTAAAGGCACAAGAAGAAAATGCATGGACACAGCCCTGACCTTTTGGTCACCAGTTGACCCCAAGCAGCCAGTGTGTTTGTGTCTTGTGTGGCGTGTTTGTGTTTTTGCGGCTGAACTAACAAAGCTCTGACCTTGGCATTTTCTCTGCTGGATCTTGTTGCAGGTGGAATGCCGTAACTACATTCGAACCCTGCACAGAGTCAATGACACTACGATGTATGTGTGTGGCACGAATGCTTTTAGCCCCACCTGTGATTACATGGTAAGTAAACTGTAAAATATGGAGTTAGTTTAGACACATAAACAGAGGCAAGTCCTCTGTTTATTAGCCGAAGAGGTGGCTGTGTGAGTCATTCCAATAATTTGAAACTTTTCTCCTTTACTTGGATTATAAACCTGTCAGTGGCTTCAGTACTCCCGCTTAAACTATAATATATTGCGTTGGTTCTCATTTACACTCCAGTGTCCAGTCCATTAACAGGGAACATTAAGGTCTAGAGAGGTGTTTTTTCATGCTTATCTTCTGGTTTATAGTTGTATTTTGTGCTTCTTCTAAAAAAAAATGTGTCTAGGCTCTAGACACAAAAACTACAACCTAACAATCTAAAATTAAATAAAAAACAATTACAGAATCATAAAATGTAAAAACATTCATCAACTTTCCTCACAAGTCAGACCTATCAAAACTTCCACTGCTATAAGGGCCTGCCTTGTGGTAATTAAAAAAAATCCTTTAAAGGCATCCAGAGAGGTTATTTTGCTACAGAGAGGGAGCGGAGAACTTAAATTCCCCTTTTTAAATTCAACAACCCTCCCATACATTTTTTGTGGGATATAGATCCGTAGGAAAGATGAAAGCAGATAAATAAGAATACGCCAATGGTTAAATCTACCGGTGGAAAATACAGATTATCAAAGCTTAACGTTCAAAGAACAAAAAAGAGCCTCTGCAAGATTTCATTTGGAGCTGAGGGTTGGAGATCAATACAGAAGGTGTTTTATCTTTTGTATACTTTGGAAAATGGTGAGCCATAATGTAAATATATATTGATTATAGTTAAAGGCTAAACCATGCAAACCATTGGTTAAGGTTTACAACTTCAGTCTTACTGTCGAAACAAAATGGCACTGTTTTTACTTTATTTTCGCTCTCTTAACAAGTCTTTATTTCCTTTGTTTCCGACAGACGTTTGTTAAAGGACAGCTGAAGCTGGAGGGAAAGCAGGAGGAGGGAAAAGGGAAGTGTCCTTTTGATCCCTTCCAGAGATACTCCTCCCTCATGGTCGGTGAGTGTCTGAGGGTTTGCTGCCAACATGAACAAAGCACGGAGTACTGCTGAACATTCAAAGTGCACCAACAGAAAGCTCAGTGTGAGATAACTGTGCACGTTTGAAATGCTGCAAGAGCCGGGCACCGAATGAAGTAAAATAAAAGTAAAAATATCACCCTAATTTCTTGGCTGGTGCTCCCTGCTCACTCCACATGGACTAATTAGTTGGCTCATTCCATTAGCAGGCATATAAATTAGATATTATTTCCGGTTAATATAAATAATACATTTCCAGTAATTTTCTTCTTCTTCCTGTCCAACAGGAAATGACCTGTATTCCGCTACATCCATCAACTTCTTGGGCTCTGAGCCGGTGGTTCTGCGCAGCTCGGACTTGGCTCTCCGCACTGAGTTTAAGAGCTCGTGGCTCAGTGGTGAGTTCCTGCTCTGCAAAGACTGGTCATTTAAAGTGTTATATTATGGTGTGCATATAAGAGGGGATCGACTGCAGCAACATTTATGCATGATGCATTATTTTAAAAATGTCCTTTGATGTTACTGAGGAAACGTTTTTTAGATTTTTCTGCCCTTTTCCAAAGTGCTAATGTTGTGTTTTGTGATTTCAGAGCCAAACTTTGTCTACATGGACTTTGTGGGGGAGAGCTTTAATAGTCTTGATGGTGATGATGACAAGGTGTACATGTTCTTCAGTGAGAACGCCATGGAGTACGACTTCTCCAGCAAAGTCACTGTGTCTCGAGTGGCCCGTGTCTGCAAGGTATATATACATACTGAATAAAAAATCTCTTTGCATTTTCAAAGACAAGAGAAAGTTGGTTTAGATCAGTAAATACGTACTGAATAATCCCTCGGTCTCTGCAAGACCTTTACATAGACATTGAGAGAAAGTTTAACAACAATGCCTCACGCTGTCTGATTCCTGGTCTGAGTGTTGTGCTTAAGAGGAATATCTGCAGTCCAGCACGTGACCTCTGTCTCTATGTTTAGGGGGATATGGGCGGCCAGCGGACACTGCAGAGGAAATGGACGTCGTTCCTGAAAGCCCGTCTGGATTGTTCCCTCCCTGAACCCAGCCTGCCCCCCATTGTCCAGGATGTCTTCCTGCTGAAGAACGAGAACTGGAAGGAGAGCGTCTTCTACGCTGTCTTCACTCCGCAGTCGTACGTAATTGCAATCAAATACAGTAGTTTTTTGGCTGAGTGTGTGAATGTGCAGCAAGGTAGAAAGTAAATTGACAGTCGTATGGGAAAGAATAAAAAAAGTTGAACAAAAAAGTTATTGGATATTTTCCTTTTTATTTTTGCATTTAGCTGTTCATATTTTAATTTAAAAGATGACATCTCCAAAGTTTTCTCTATAAGAGATTAAATAAAACAAACAAATGGAAGTGTTCTTGACTAAATGTATCTAATTTTTTGTTTTTTCAGGGGCTTGTCCGAGGTATCTGCGGTATGTGCATATAGTGTGTCTTCCATTCGAGGTATTTTCAATGAGGGCAAGTTTAAGACACCTGTCGCTGTGGAGACATCTCACGTGAAGTGGGTGATGTACACTGGAGAGGTGCCAGTCCCCAGACCGGGAGCAGTGAGTCTAAAGACTTTGTTCAAACTAGAAGTGATTCTGAATATTAAAGCAAGGAAAATATGAAATACAAACCATTCTGACTTCAAGTTTTGCGTTTCAGTGCATCGATAGTGTGGCACGTAAAATGGGCATGAATCGCTCTCTGGATCTTCCTGACAAAACCCTCCAGTTCATCAGGGACCGCCCCCTCATGGACGAGGCTGTCCGACCGCAGACGGGGGGGCCGCTGCTGGTGAAGAGGGGAGCTTTGCTGACTCGGATCGTAGTGGACAGTGTGTTGGCGCTGGACCAACAGAGATATGCAGTCATGTTCATTGGCACTGGTAAATATTTGATAAAAAAAAACTGCAACTGCTTGTCTGCAATAGTTTTGCACAATAATTATAACAACTTTAAACAGAACTGATGTTGAGGGCTGTTACACAATGTGTTAAAATGTATCAATATAAAAAATCATTTTCAGTCAAAGTTAAAACAGTTCAAGTTTGAATAAAACATCCTAGTTAATATTATTTATTACTTGCTTTAATCTTCAAAATTGCTTAATTTTTCTCATACTGCCTACTTACGCAGCACCTCTTTTCACCCTCTGGGTGTTTCCCAATGTCGAGGATGCTTCCTTGGTAGGACATGTCTTCCGAGTCAGGTCCATCAGAGGCTAGGCAAGAATCCTTCCTGGCATTTGGAGAACGAAGAATGGAACAGGCTAGCAAGTGTGCAGGTGTGCGTCATATGAGAGGCCCGCCTTAAGTTTTCCGCCAAAGATTTTGGAAATTGGTCCATGCGCAAAGCATTGTGGGGATTTTAAGACCACGGAGGATACACATGTGCAGCCTCAACATTTTCCTCAATGAATGTCTCAGTCCTCGGTAGAATTCCAGGGATCCTGGACATTGTAACAGTCCTTCGGCGGGACTCGATGACGTAGCATCCTCGAAATAGTGGCTCTGAAGCAGCTTTCCTCGACATTGAGAAACACCCTCTGTCTGAAACCAGAGCCCAGTCTGCTCTGATTGGTTAGCTGGCGGCTCTGATGTGATTGGTCAACCGCTTAGAGATGTCCCGCCCCTTAGCCTATCACGTGAAAGTGGTACACAGTGATGTCACTATGTTACACAAGTAAACAAAGGAGTCCAATGGAGGCGTTTCAGGGTGAGAGGGGGAGTGTGTGGGAGAGAAACGTTTTACATGCACAAACACATAATAGGGACTCTTTAAGAAACACATAAACATAAAGTATGAGTAATGATAGTTGATACCTTTGTTTGTGTAATGCACTTATTCAGTGGGTAGACGATGATCCTTTTTGTTTCCTGATAGAAAACGGTTACATCCAGAAGGCTGTCAACTACGCAGGAGAGATGTTCATCATTGAGGAAATTCAACTGTACGAAACCTCGGTGCCTATCAGCACCCTGCGCCTCTCATCCAGCAAGGTAACTCAACAGGTTCAACATTTTGGGAAAATATTTAGTTTTACAATAAGTTTCAGTTTGAATTTATGGCTCAATTTAAATATGTTGTCACTATATTGCTTCTAACAGGCAGTAGAGAGGCGACAGTGGATATAAAGATGAAATACCTGGTGGTTTGTTAATGTGTGTCTGTGTTGCATACATAGGGCCAACTGTATGCAGGTTCAGAGTTTGGTGCCATCCAGATGCCGGTCAGTAACTGCAGCCGCTATGAGACTTGTGTGGACTGCATCCTGGCCCGGGACCCTTACTGTGCCTGGGACATGCAAGAAGAGCATTGCTGCTCAGTCGACAGTGTGTCCTACATTGAAACTGCAATACAGAGTCTGAAGGAGGGAGACCTCTCTCAATGTTCTCCTCCAGGTACATTAAGGCACCATGTTTGCATATATTACTGGGCAGCCTTTTTGTATGAAACAGCAGCATGCAATGAGACCAACCTTATGTGTTCTTCAATTAATTTAAAATGCATTTTTATAGCACCATATCATAGAGAGCAAAGGTGTGAGACATTCATATGTACGTATAAACAGGGTTATGAGGGATACTTTAAAAGTGTACTCTGTTACAATTAACACAGAAAATGTAATCAGTAACCTAATATAAATATAACAAAATAAAAGTAATGTAACCCGATTACTTTCCGTTACTTTTGGATTACTTCAATATCAAATGCAATGCAAAGGAAGACAAGAAGAAGAAATATCAATTATGTATTTTATGTATATGTAATACAACAGAACGATGTAACTTTAGTAGAAAAACATATCTCCATAAATGATAGACCAGGCCTGCAGAAAAGTATAGTTTACAAAAGCTTTTTTATTTAATACAATAATTAAAAGCAATATATTTGTGTAATGAATCTGGTGTCCACCTACTGCATTTAGAAGAATACAAAAATAAAGATATTTAAAAAACATTATGATAATGGCCTAAATGAAAACCCTCCAAAAATTCAGGCAGTATATCTTCCTTTTAATGTTTGTAACATTGTAAGATAAGATAAGATAATACTTTATTGTCCGATTGAATTGTTCTTGCATCAAAGCAGCTTCATTTGCAACATCGTTGTAAACCTGCTAGTAATACCCATTTTATAAAAATATACCAGTAATCGGATCATGTATTTCTTTAATGTATCCTGATTATGCTTTTCTATGTAATCCGTTACTCTCCAAGACTGCACATAAAAATACAATCACATAAACAGGTGTACTGTGTGTCTGTTTTTAGATCCAGTGGCAGCCGTGGACTTTACCCTGGTTCCAGGAAACAACATCCAGCTGCCGTGCCAGCTCCACTCCAACTTGGCGCAGGTCGTGTGGCGATTCGCTCACCATACACTTCACTCCGACAACAAATACTACATATTCAGCCGGGGCCTCCTCGTCTTGCAGGCCTCTGAATCGGACGCGGGCCTGTACACATGTGACTCAGTAGAGCTGATCAATGGGAGACAATACAACCGGACTGTGGCGGTTTATCAGTTGAAGCTCCATTCTGATGCAGGAGTGGGGGAGAGCTCTACTCCTAGCAAGGAGGTGACAGATTCCTCACCCTCCATTTACAATGTGATTACGGCTGCACCGGAGCCAAACTCGGGCAGGGAGGACCCGTTGACCCCGCAGAACCAAAGCGACACCAGCAAGGTGACTGGTTTAGAGGTGGCCCTGGCTCTGCTGTCACTGCTCTGTCTCTGCCTGATGGTGGTCATATTTTGCATCTGGAATCAGGGACGTTTTGGATGCTTCAAGTTTGCGAAGCGCCCAAGTGAAAGCGAGGTGAAAAGGCAGTCAGCCGAATACATGCACATCCCCAGCAGAACTTCAGAGATTAAGCTCCTGGAGCCTGAATCTGGGAGACCTTGCAGTGCCAATAATAATCACTCTGCTGTTGACTTCAAAGGCAACGGGGAGCACCACTTCATACCTATGGCCAACATTTCAAGTCTGGACGGTCTGGGATACATAAATGATGAGTCAGAGATTTGACTGCTGAAGTACAGAAAATCAGTCCGAGGCCAACTGCCGTGCACTAATTATCTTCCTATAGGTGTGATGCTGTAGAAAAGGTTTCCACATTATAAATTCTTTTAATTGGTGTCCTGTTTCTCCTTGACAATTTTCAATACTGTCTATTATTTATGTACTGGGCAGCTGAAGAGACTTTTCTGGAATTTTTTTTTACATATGTATTTTTTTGTAAAATGTTCATTTGTGAATACACTGTAATATATTGTGTACAGGTAAGCGCTTTTTTTCAACTATTATTTATTTGTTCAGCAATCTTAATACCTGTGATCTGAGTCTTGTAAATTGGGTCAGTGAACAAGTAGCACACACTTATACTTTAAATTCCCAGGCAGATATGATTTTATGGACTGTTTACTCAGTCAAAGAGCAAACTACATTATTTGGCTGTGTTAATGATTGATAGTCTGTCATAGGTGATACAGAGTGAACTCCATACCTTATCTTCCATAACAAAAACCCAAGATAATTTCACTGCAGCAAATGTTGTATCATCATTGGGATGTAGAAATATGGATGTCAGTCTATCAATTACTTGCATCAGAGACACAGCATTTTGTTTTGGCATCAAACTTTGGGAAATGCAGCTGTTGTTGATAATACAAAAAAAAAACGTTATTGTTTGTGTGTCTAGCTGTCAGTAATGATTACCCACTTCCTCACAGAGCTGAAAAATATTTCTGGAGCTGGACCGACACGCTTGTTGTCTTGGTGTTTCCAACAGATACTCATGTTGCGGGATGATATGAACAAAAAAACACACACCTGACTTCACAGTTACCTCAGACCTGTTTGTTTTGTCGAAAAGGTCTGAGACCAAACTAAATTACAGGAAAGTAGCATGAGCGTACTCTGTGTTTTTCACACTCTGTCATTAACAACAGCAGTCAGAGCCGCTTCAAACCAGTACTGTAAAATATGAAAGGGTTGAAGTAGGTCTCAACTATTCAACAGAGCAGTTTAAGGAAGTTTTCAAAACAGAATTAAAAGTATATTTTAATCTTATTAGGGTATAAATAAATAAAATATTGCCAAGATTGTTGCATAGATATGCAACAAAAAGTGCTTAGATTTCTTAGCATGGGCATATTTACACTGGGGAATAAAGGCAAGCAACTCACCAAATATTGTTTTCAGTTTCTTTATTCTAAAAAAGAGAGAGAGCTTTTACAGAGTTGTTTTTAACTTTCAGAAGTCGCTAGCTGCCCTCTCCTGTTCTTCAGCCCTAGTTTCCTCCCAAGATTTAATGAGCTCTTACTTTTAGTTCAGGCTGTCTTGCCGTTACGGCTCACAGGCTTTTTTTATTCTACACCGGTTTCTTTGAACATTTCTGACTTGCATTTCTGAATAAATCAATACGACAGCAGAATATCTTCGCCAGGGTAAAATATTTTACACTGAGGACATGGGGTACAGAAGTAAAAACACAGCAAAGGTGGGCATTAACAGACCACACATGGGTCCATCAGCGGTGACGAGAACTGAGTATCACTGAAGCCTGTTTTTGTATTGTTTTGTTATAAAGGGACAGTTCACCCTAAAATCAAAATGTATATTTTTCCTCTTCGGCCTGACATCATATAGAGATGTTAGCATCAGTCCCAATGTTATGGGGCTAAATGGCACTTGGCTTATGGTGCTCAAAGCGCCAACAAATTAAAAAAAACTCCACAGCATGTATCTTTTCAGAAATCATGAAGAGGTTAAAGTGAACCCACAAACTTTGCTGTGAGCATTTTTCTTGTAGGAACGGTTTTCTTTCTACCTAACTACACCAACCATCAAAATCAGGCCCCAGAAACAAGCATACATTTACTCATTAATGTGAGGATTGTGTTAATTATAGAACAAGATGTAAACATTAATGGAGTCCTTGTCTGAGGTTAAACTCAGGAAAACAAGCAGTACACAAGCATTAGCATCGCGTGCATGAATAAATAGATGTTTAATTTATGAGATAATGCGGTTGTCGGCTGTAGTTAGGTTGAAAGAAATTGTTCCAACATGAAACTGCTCACAAGATCTGTGGATTATCTTGAGTAACCGGGTCATGATTTCCAGAAAGAGACATTGCTGTTGAGTTTTGAATATAAGCTCCACTATATTGGAGAGAAGCCAGACATCTCTGCTGCTGATATCTCCAACCCTCATAACGACATAAAACAATCTAGATAAATAGCAGATAAGAGAACAAATATGTCTTTCTGATTTTAGGGAGACCTGTACCTTTGAGTGTTTGAAGAGCCGAAGTCATTAAAGGAAAGGTCCCATGTCATGCTTTTCCGGTTATTACCCGTCCCCTTGTGTGTTATGTAGCTTTTTCTGCATGTAAACGGTCTGCAGGGTCACAAACCCTCAAAGTACACCCTGTAGGGAGTACAACTCTAACACAGAAAAGACCTGTCTATGCTGCCTCAGAACGCCTCGTTGGAGATTTCTCTTTTTCCATTTTCTTCTTCCTGGTCATAGTGACGTAATGGTGCGGAGCTCCGAGGATTGGTCCAAATGGACCAATCCGTGGAGCTCCGCACACACACTCAGGCCGTTTCTCAATCTCGAGGATACTGGCTTCCAAGCCAATATTTCAAGGATGCTACGTCATCGAGTGCCGCCGAAGTNGTCCATCGAAAAGAATGTGCGCCAGGGAACCAAAAGAAGGGCTTCTAGATAGCTTATGACCGAGCACAAGCTGACATGAGATAATTTATTGTTCAGGGACATCTAGAAGCCCTTCTTTTGGTTCCCTGGCGCACATTCTTTTCGATGGACGACAGCTCTTAGATTCAGAGTCCATATTTGTTTAGTCTCGCTGATAAAGAATGTTGATTATTACACTCTGAACTAGTTCAAACCTGGAGCTACAGGAGGGGTCTTCAGAATTGATTGTGGCATCTCAACTGTGTGTATATTCTCCTGTNAAACACACAATGCACCAAGTGTGACGTCCGTCTCTGCTTTTCTGAGGATAGGAACTGTTTTTGGGACTGCATTGTATTCATATTAATAAATGACTATTCATAAAAAACATGACTGATGTGTGATTATTATTCATGCTATACTGATATATGGCTAAGTAAGCAATCAATCCTGCAAATCAACCCTTAGTTGTTCAATATATTTATTCAGATAATGTGAGTATAAATACAGGAATTCTGCTCCGACCTAAGCCCAACGTTGCAATATTACAACATTTCCCTAAAAACTTACCAAAACGTAAAAAATGTGAAAACTCTTTAATTTCTGCTCCATATAGGCTCCCTACAACAACATCTGAAGGATCAAAAAAATAATAATTATAATGTTTTTCTATATTTGGGCTTTACAGGGTTAACAGCATCTTCTGCCATCTAGTGGCTCATAATAGCCATTTCTTTAACATATATACAAGAAAAATACCTGAGAGGAAATACAATAAAATACAATACTATCAGTTACTGCAAAACAGTATTAATGTTTCTCAGATTTTACATATATATATATTTGTATTGATCCCACGTTGAAATGCAAAATTACATTTTATAAAATATCAAGGTTAAAAAACTGTACTATAAACTACCCTTCAATATTTTAATATTTTAAAATAAACTTTAATAATAAGAAGCGTCGCTTAAAAAAAAACCTTAACATGTCACTCACGTCTCCACAATTTATACTTTAAAAAGTAATTTGAAACTTTTTGCTTATAGAATATACAATGGCTGCTGTTAACAAAAACCTAATATTATCAGGAGATGAAACAAATGTACATACAAATGTCATGTTTAAAGGAAAAGCCTGCACCTGTAAAATACAATGTAAAATATAAAGATAACTCCAGTAAATACAGCTATATGACTAAATATGAGAGTTGATTTGATTAATTAAGGCCCATGGCTTCCTCACAGTTTGCATCTCCGTTTGTCCTCGTGGCACTTCCGGGCTTGACTCGGGTTTCTGAGGTTTTGAGAAGAGGAAGCCTTCTTCAGGGTGTCCACCGGGACCCCGGGCCGAGGGGACGGCTGCTTGTTGGCCACAGGACGAGTGTTTGCATAGATTGGATCTTCTGCTGCATCAAGAGCAAAAACAGGGTGAATTACATTACAACTTTTTAAATAAAACTATATCTCAGACATCTACATAACAGAATTGTATAAGTTAGAAGTTATTCTGTCTAAAACACAATTGACCCCCTGACGGTAAGAGCTTAGATTATAGACATGTCATTATATAGACAACGGTGTCCTAAAATCAAATACCCATCAAGTATGTCATTTTTCTGGTTATCAGTATTACTCTATTTATATTTACAAATGTTGCATCATTTTATGTAGTCGGGTGCCCAGCCTTAAACATCATCTTTTGGTTTAATTGTAAAGTGTCTGTTTAACTTTTGCTGCTTTTAACACTAAAACTGTGTCCGTGTGCACCTTTCAAGTCCCCCTGTTCACCTGCAACTTGAAGTAAAAATAATGTAAAATTCACAAAGAAATACAATCTTATTACAGAGGTATTGTGTTAATTAGACCATTTACTTGTTCTGTAGAAAAGCTTCTGTCTTGCTTGTATAATTGCTTATAACAAAAACAGAAATTGGAGGTGTATGTGGGTAGGAAGTCACCTCTGTCCTATTCTTACTGCTCCATCCTGTGTGACCAAACCGCAAACTTAGGTCTACTGACACATCTTTAACACCTTTGTCATGCACCACCATTAAACAAAAACATAAAAGCTCTTTGTTCGTGCGTTAAGCAACTTTTGCTGATGAGTTACACCTGTAAGCAATATAATGTTGTTTCACATGTTGTAAAACATATGATAAATGTTACAAGGTAATTGAATCTCAAAGTCGGCCGCTCCCAATTATTTTGTCATGACACTTTCAATCAAATTATAAAAATGTTAAATGTCGTAAATAGTGGATGAAATATTTTGCATGAGAATAAACAAAAAAACCAAGACGTATTCAGTGCATTACTGGTTCATGTCTGAGAGCAACAACCAAAGCATACTGAAAAAAGGGAACACAACTCATATGCATTAACTGTTATCTGCCCACCAATTCATTTAATCATTGGAATAAAGAGATAATGCTGATTTTCAGGTTAATACCTGTATTCAGTGCCTCTACTGTGACAAGTTTACCTGCTTTAATGTTCAAAAAGGTATTTATTTATTTTTCTCATACTGCCTGTACTGCAGCAACTCTTTTCACCCTCTGTCTGAAACCAGAGCCCACTCTGCTCTGATTGGTTAGTTGGCTGGCTCTGTTGTGATTTGTTTTGGGATAATACCCAATAAAAGTGTGAGTGTTCCATAGTGATGGCATTATGTTATGGAAGCAAACAAATGGGAGAGAACTTTACATGCACAAAAACCTATACAACAGACAACAGGAAAGATAAAACCAGACCTTTAAGTATAGTTTAAACATTTACAGTTGCAAGAAAAAGTATGTGAACCCTTTGGAATTACCTGGATTTCTGCATAAGTTGGTCATAAAATGGAGGAAGCCACTGCTCTCCAGAAAAAACATTGCTGCACATTTGAAGTTTGCAAAAGAGCACCTGGATGTTCCACAGCACTACTGGCAAAATATTCTGTGGACAGATGAAACCAAAGTTGAGTTGTTTGGAAGGAACACACAACGCTATGTGTGGAGAAAAAAAGGCACAGCACACCAACATCAAAACCTCATCCCAACTGTGAAGTATGGTGGAGGGAGCATCATGGTTTGGGGCTGCTTTGCTGCCTCAGGGCCTGGACAGATTGCCATCATCGACGGAAAAATGAATTCTCAAGTTTATCAAGACATTTTTCTGGAGAACTTAAGGCCATCTGTCCACCAATTGAAGCTCAACAGAAGATGGGTGATGCAACAGGACAACGACCCAAAGCACAGAAGTAAATCAACAACAGAATGGATTCAACAGAAGAAAATAGCCTTCTGGAGTGGCCCAGTCAGAGTCCTGACCTCAACCCAATTGAGATGCTGTGGCATGACCTCAAGAGAGCGATTCACACCAGACATCCCAAGAATATTGCTGAACTGAAACAGTTTTGTAAAGAGGAATGGTCCAAAATTCCTCCTGACCGTTGTGCAGGTCTGATATGCAACTATAGGAAACGTTTGGTTGAGGTTATTGCTGCCAAAGGAGGGTCAACCAGTTATTAAATCCAAGGGTTCACATAATTTGTCCACCCTGCACTGTGAATGTTTACATGGTGTGTTCAATAAAAACATAAAAACATATAATTGTTTGTGTGGTTTTAGCGTAAGCAGACTGTGTTTGTCTATTGTTGTGACTTAGATGAAGATCAGAACACATTTTATGACCAATTTATGCAGAAATCCAGGTAGTTCCAAAGGGTTCACATACTTTTTCTTGCAACTGTATATAAAAATGTAAATTTTCAAGTTAAACACAAGAACATGACCCCACCCCGCCCCAAACCATATTTACACAAAGTTGCTTATGAAAGTTTAAATGAGCTAAAAACCCTGAAAGAGGACTGTTTTAGCAGAGCTTCTTTCTCGTGCTCCCTTTCTGCAGGTCAAGAGAGGTGAGTTTGGCAATGTGGTGTAGACTTATTTTCAGAACACAGACACAACCAATGACAACAAGTGTTTCTGCCGCCAACAGAGGATGCATTTCAACAACATGTAAAGAGCAA